AATTATTATTTTTCTTATTTTATTATTATATTTAAAAACAAAAATATATATGGATTTTTAAAATAAAAGTATTTACATATAATCAAAAAATTCTTTAATTTATCTATTTTTATTCCAATTATATAAAACTTTGGTTTTTATATTATACTTTAATTTTATTTTTTTACAACTAAAATCTTACAATTTTTACTATAATAATATATCTCAAGGAAAAATTAACACTTAATAATAAAAAATTAGAATAAATAAATATTTTTATAGTATAAAAATTTAATTTTAAAAGTTTGACATAGGTACTTTTATTTTTAACTCTCAACTTTCTCTAAAGTTTCAGCTAAAGAAAATCTCAACTAGTAAAGAATTTTTTCCTCACTAAGAATCATTTATAACTTACTTTGAGAATAACCAAAAAGTTGCTATTTATGTCAAACTTGGTTGCATGGAAATGTCCTTCCTTGGAGTCCAAAGCTTTCCCGATTTCCTACTTCTCAACTACATTCAATTAGCTGTTGCATACAATACCGTGACAATGCTAGCCCATGCACGTCAAATTGTCTTTACTTCTCTTAATTTTGCCTGTCCCAACTTAACCCTAAAAGAACTCTCCTACAAGGATTATTTGAAAATTAAAAACTCGAATATCCTAAACTAGTATGGTAGTACAAGTTCCAAAACTTCATCAATTTAGACAGGATTATTAAAATGGTCTGGTGCGGGGAGCAATTTTCTGTTCATCTGGTACCATCAGGTACAAGCTGGGTACTTATTCCGCTGCTGTCGTGGGTGATAGATGTTGTGCCTTGTATGTGCAATTGGAATCTATGCCTCCGGCATTTCCCACGAAGATTGTATAGCTATCAATAGATCACTAAATCCAGGTCAGTAATATCTAACCCTGATAGGAAACCCACAGTCCAATAAACAATACCCGAAGTATTGTGCCCTTTATTCAATCCTCCGCGACGACGAGTCAAATATATCCTTCCTTGGTCATATTCAGGGATCGTAGTGACTATCTGAGACGTACTGAATGTGTACTTCATCCCGAACAGCTAAACAGTAGTGCAAAGTAGGAGCAGAGGGATTTGAGAAACAAATACCTTTCCAACACCTTTTTTCGATGTGCTGCCAACTCGTGAAACACTTCTCTGGACTGTCGAATGAAGCATTGGCTTTGAACTGTTATTAATTTTTTGTCTCCGCTGGGTCTTAGATCCTAAACCAGATTTTGGTGTTTTGATACCTAGTGATGCACCCTGCACTATTTACCTCATATTCACGGCTGAGCTCCGAATGAAGTCGAAAAAATTACACACACGTTTGAATGTGTGTAATTCATATGATTGAATGCAAGGAGAAGCGAAGGCTCGCTTTGTAACTTCGGAACAGATCCAGAAGAACGCTCTTCTGCGCTCGGAAGTTAAAAAGTGGACTCTAGACGTTTGAATAGCACATCAATCACGACAACGGTATATGACAACGATGATCTTGACTTTGAGAAGATTTCTAAAACCACTTCTAAAACCACTTCTCAAACCCGGGTTTTAGAAATGGTTCCGAAAAATTCACCAAGAAATGGTACAGTGGTGCTTACAATTTATTGAGGAATAATACACATGTTGGCTTAGGATGAAGGATTCATGTGAACAGTCAGTTCTTTCTCAAAAAGCTGTTCACCTTGTGCTAGTACTGTAACTCTACATTACACTTAAAACGACTTTGACTACGAATTATTATGGTGGACAAACCAAGGCGTCACCTGTATCTATTTTCAACGAACTAGAGTATTGTTGCTCTGTTTCAAGGAAATATGATTAAAAAAACCTCAATTCCTGCAGGCACGGTTTATGTCATGACTACCAAAGCTGTAACATTAATTCATTTGACCAACAACACACATTCGGCTCATCCTAAATCTCAACCACAAATGCTAAACTGCAGATGTCCAGGACCTCCGTAAAGCAATCGAAAAAATCAAACACACGTATAAACCTTGCGTTCATAGTAGGATTATTACATACATTTCTTGACAAAGCCTTTCCCCCGGATACGACTAGTAAATTTTACAAGAAAAATCTATAAACACGCCAGACTATGACGTGTGAAATATTTATGAGCGTGTTGGCTTTCTTTTCATGTTAGTCGCACTGGCACTATCAGTCCAAACGACTACATTAGAGCGTGACCGTTGGGTGTCTCTGATCATCACCCATGCCGTTGTTTGCGATGTCTGCGTCCAAAGCACCATGTTTCGACAAATCGAACTTCTCGCCATCTCCCCAAAGGGCACATGCCTCCTCGCCATGTTCAGCGTCGTCTCCAACAAGAAGGTGTTCGGCTGTCATGCGGAGCGGAATCACAAGCTTAATGACATTTAGGATAATGCAAGTGATTACCACGTTCCATGCTATGACGAATAGAGCGCCTGTGATCTGCTTCCCGAACTGTGTGCCACCAATACCACCGTAAAAAGCACCTCTCTCGTCCAAGACGGGGAGGAAGTAGTTGCAGAGGGTGGGCTCAGCGAAGCATCCAACCAAGAGACCCCCCACCAACCCAGCGACTGCATGGGTATGGAACACTCCCAACGTATCGTCCACATTCTGAAGCATGCTAGATCTCTTATGTACCACCATCATCGTAAACCAGGGCACCGATCCGGCGAAAATACCCATTACTAGCGCCGCCCAACCCTGTACGAGACCTGAGTGATTGCATTGAAAGTAACAATGTCAGAAATGAGCAGGAGTTCGAATGCAATTGGCACAACGTCAACATGGAGGATGAGATCAAACTTTCTGTTCTGGTGCGTCAAGAGAGACTTAGGTTGGTCACCTGCAGCGGGAGTAATGACAACAAGGCCCGTGATCATTCCCTGAACCGCACCGATCACTGAAGGCTTGCCGAAGACAAGCACATCCAAGCACGTCCATACCAATAGGCTTGTGGCGGCGCACACATTGGTGTTCATGACAGCAATAGAGGCAACTTAGTTTGCTGCTAGCGCAGCTCCTCCGTTGAACCCAGCCCATCCCATCCATAGCAGACCCGCCCCAGCAAGCATGAGCAAGACGTTGTTAGGAGGGAAACGCTCTATATCCTTAGTCAGCCTCGGCCCAACCTGTACAATTGAGCACAGTTAGGCACGTAAACAAACCTCTAAGAAAGTTTTATGCAGTGTACACAACTCGACCACGACGATGCCTAACTGTAGCATGCTTTGAGGTGTATATTACAAAATTTATACCCAATAAGCAGCTACAAATCCGGCGACGCCAGATGAGAGATGAATTACGTAGCCCCCAGCGTAGTCGATGACTCCCCATTGCCATAAAAATCCGCCACCCCACAGGCTGAAAGCGCCAACCGTGTACGAGAAGGTCAACCAAAGTGGGACGAACAACATCCACGCGCGGAAGCTCATGCGTCCTTAAACAGATCCTGCCAACAAAACTAGCGTAATAGCCGCGAAGACGAACTGAAAGTACACGAGCGAGGCCATAGGAAAGAACGGCGTTAAAGTTGCCGTTTCGAGAGAGCCATCTTTATGGAAATGGGCGCTCGAGGGGACATCAGCCTGCGATAGCAAATACTTGTAGCTCAGCGTCGTCCCCGCCTTCCCCCACATCGGGATGAGCTTCTCCCCAAAGGACATCTTGTATGCCCATCCTACCCAACACAGCAACACGGCAGCGAAGGCGTAGAACGCCATGAAAGCGGAGTTCACTGCCCATTTCTTCTTTACAATGCTGCCGTAAAGGATAACCAGCGCAGGTACGCTCTGCATTCCGACCAGTGTGCTCGCCGTCATTTCCCAGGCATTGTCACCTTTGTTCAGCCAGTCCGGACTCACACCGCCGGCTTGGTTGTACGCCGATGGGATTGTCGGCGCTGCGTTGTCCATGATAAGACCGCCTTCTTATATTCTTTCTTGACAACCTCCTATTCGATGACTACAGGTGGGTGGCTATTGATTGATCTTTTAACCTCCTACATGATAGATTCAAGTACAATGTGAGATCGTTCTGAAGTCTGCACATTGTCTTCAGGACACGCAGAAGAAGACCGTAACGAAGCGGAACCGAGAAGGGGTTAGTATAAATTGAAATTTGAGCACAGCAAGAATCAAAATTTGAAGCTTGACATAACAGGTGTTACTAGAGCGAGTAACCTGGTCAAAAAATAAATGGAACATATAATGCTTTAGTCAGTGATGATTAAAATTTCGACGATACGAGCTTCCAAGATGAATGGTCGATAGAAAGTTAGTGTGGTACTGTTATGACCACACTCGTGATACCGCTTTGAGGTTCCAGTATATCACAGTTCCTATGGAAATGTGTTTAGACGAGAGAAAAAATTGGTAGGATATTAGTTGAGGTTCTTCACAACGGGCTGAAAGCTTTGACCGTGACAACTTTCAGAAGTGAGTCCGAGCTAGAAGATCCTCACCGCAGAGTCTACACAAAAGAAGCATCACCACATCCATTGAGCAGTATCAGTGCTTCCCTCTAGACAAAATACACGACCTAGGAGTGTCAGGGTGCAACCATATGTCAGGAGACAAGGACCTCAAGACCTCCAAATGGACGAGCCTCTTTGTTGCGAGGGTGCAACAAAGGCAACACTAGCTTGAAAACTCTGGCTGTAAATTAAACACATATAAACAGCTCAGGGTACTGGCATCCATGATACGCCCGGTCCTAATCAGCAAGTGCTCCAAGTTACTACCCGGGCTATGGAAACCCACATAAGTGGCGCCAACTTGCAACAATCGAAAGACAAAGTGCGACTCGCCAACATTCTCTAAAATTCCAGAACTAGCAACCCTGTAATTTTCGCATCCGTCACTGTAGTTCCCCTGTGGCTGACTAGTCCCCAGCAATTGGCACCCACGAATGCAGGAATCTTTGGACAAAGCGACTGTTGCCCATAAACTCATATTCCAAAAGAGGACGATACCTTCCAACAATCTTGGATCGGGCATTTCCAGCGCCGGAATCCACAGAACAGGGGTGGAATCCTTGCTAGTTCTTTGTCTCAACTCTTTATTTACTTTTTTGTTCTTTGAAACATTGCTATCAACGAGGCGGTTTACATTCGGGCAGAGATCACCCTGTTCCTCCTGAAGAAGTATACTTAGATCCTAGTTGGACAGCTAAGTCAGAACACGGTGGGAAGGGGTTTCAGAGGATCTGGGAGCCTCGTCCTATATAGAACATATTGTCGAGGGTCCAAATGCAACCCGAACTTGGACTTCAAACCATCATGCATTTATGGAGATTTCGTGATGGCCTTCAAAGATCAGATCAAGCATATTGAACAGTCCTCCACATCGTTTCGAAGACATGTGCCGAGACCATGTTGTAATGTTAAACTCGATGGATTCAGCGCATGCAGCAACGTAAATCCATCGAGTTCGCATTCAAGTACCAGTAATTAGGGGCCATACCATCTCAATGGGGTTGTACCCACTCGGCCACAACCTCAAGTGCCTCGTACATCTTGAACTTGGACATTCAGAAACCTGAATGAATCTGAAGGTAAGCTTAAATTAGCACACGATTATCAACGTTGACGAATCAGGATCGATACGATTACGCCGTCGATGACGGCAAAAGCAAGCTCGCGAGTTGCTTCTGAGGCAAGCCGAGGTACTAATATCAGCTTACCGTGTCTGTTCGACTGGTGTGGTAGAGAGAATCCAAATTCGGATTGCACGCCAAGGAATTTCCAGCTTTTTCACTCCCGATTCGTGATGCAAAGTGCGATTCGGGGTGGAAGGGAGGGAGGTTTGTGTCAGTGGAATCGATTCAGGCTGCGCGACGAATTGTCGCGGATGGGATGGCTGCGTTGGTTGACGGGATTTGTTCCTCTGGGAGGCGGTATTGGAACCCTTGAGACGTCACGTAGCTAATACACCTGTCCCCTGTTACACAGTTGTATGTAACAGTCACACCCCCGTCGAGGAGTCGTAGCAGCATCTTCTGTCAGTCTCACCCACGAAACATTCATGGCAAAGTAGTACATCTGTCCACTTGCACAGAACAATCAGATCTTGTTTGCGTGAAAAACCGAAGTGGGCAACACATCATCAGGAAAAAGCACAATCTATCAGACTACAGCATGAACATTCCTTGCCGAACAAATGTTAGAATATACTTGGAAAAACCCAGACCATATGCGATTTTACCACCTCATTTATCGGCAGGGAGTCATCGTTCACCTCGGGAAGTTGCTCAAGATAAAAGGTCCTCAAGTTCAAGGATTGTTGGTCATGACATGCTACGGAGGAAAACACTTGTGGAATGAAAGTTTAGAATCGAAAGTAGGGAGCCGAAAGATTGAAGCATATGTGACGAAGCAATGCAGGTGTGAGAAGTGTGCATGCAGGTCTTCATATTTACAAAGAAACCTCTCGTTGTGACAGACATTGCAGTTGTGAAAGACATTTCATGTTGGAGGACTAAAATGTTGCAGTATTTTGGGACTGGGGTGTTGGTTTGATGTTGATTTATGGGCGTAAGTGGCGTGTGTGGAGGGTTGGTGACGCTTGTTCTTGTAGGTGTTTGCATGAGAGAAAAAGGTAGAAACCAGTACATATTAGTAAATATTTTACGATATTCTTTCTTTTCATTTTTTTCTTTCTTTAATCTTAATTGTTTTATGAGATTTAATCAAATTTTACAAAGAGTGTGTTATGGATTAAAATGAAAATAGTAGGCTCTTAGTTATTATAGCTACGTAATTATTACTATTTTCTGTATAAATGTCAATAGATATATATATATATATATATATATATATGTGTGTGTGTGTGTGTGTGTTTGTTTTTATTGCAATTCATTAGAAGAAAATAGTAATAATTTCAAGATTGGAACAATTTGATTATCCAATTCTAATCTTGGATAATAAAGATTATTGGATAACAATTCTTAGTATTCTAATAATAAACAATTATAGTATTGTAAAGAAGGATTGGAACAATTTATTTCATCTCATACAATTATCATTTTAAACAGAATGTTTAGTTCTCTATTTTTATTTATTCAAAGATTATATAACAATAAAAAGAAGTATTTATAAATAATAGATTAGTTAATAAATATTTCCTTTTTGTACAAGATTATTTATTAAATAATAACATCAAATAAAAATCATGAGGTTTGTGTATATATACATATATATATATATATATATAAAAGAAACTGGTACAAAAAAAAGGTTATAAATTATATATTATTCAAACAAGCTGATAAGGTTTAATAAAATCTTATGATTTGGTTGTTTAATATTTTTTGATAAAATAATCCATAACAGCATATCATTAATTAATATTTACTTCATGTTGAATATTGATGAAAGAAACAATCTTTAACAGTTTTTTTATTCATTGAATTAGTTTTAAAACTATCTATTATGTAGATATTTAAATGAGAGTTAAAGTTTTGTATATGTTGAAAAGTGTATCCAAGTACATGTTTCATAACTTGTTCCAAATTTTACGTGACTATAATTATTGACTATAAATTATATCTTACTAAAAGAATGAGATCAAATAAAATTAAGAGGGCTTCCGATTTACTTGCTTAAGTAATATTTCCTCAATGGCATTCTCAAAACTGAGAATTCCCATTATAAAATTTTCTTATTATTATTAATTTTTTACAAACTTACAAATAGACGGCATTTTCTAGTAAGTTTCCATGCAAGTACATGGAGTTCTGTAGATGTCATGCTGGCACTGGAATATCGATAGACTGATGCGATTCCAACAAGCCCTACATCCGTATGGATGAATTACGGAATTATCCGCCGAATGAAACATTCTTCTACTTTCGTTCTCCGCTCAGCCCCCGTGAAGATAAACGGCGGTTTTAGGGTTCGAAGCTTCTGCTCGACCTGTCCCCTTTATAGTGCCACCCCCTCATGCCACCAGTCGTCTGCGAGTTGCTAGCTGCTCTGGTACTGCGTAGTGTTCATGTTTCCTTTACCGTCGTGCATGCGGATTGTTTGTTCCTCAATTTAACTGTTATGAAGCCCATGTGTTTAGTATTGTTGAGGTTCTGCCCTCGCCAGTGACAGTCACTTGCTATATTATCTTTTCTAGGAAGCTTGGGATGCGTAGTGGAAAACTCCCATTGTCGAATTGTATTATTCTTGCACTTGCGAACGGAGGTTTTTTTGGTATTTTTGACCGTCTGCTGTTTCTGCAACGCACTGAGGTCGACTTTTGGCGATGTACACCTGTTGTACTGGTGCCTACCTGTGGTGCTATAGAAAGGTTTGGTTCTTGCTTTGCGGCTAAGGTCCGACTGAAACCGGCAATACCTTAAGTGCGCCAGTAGAATCTGTACACTCCTCCATATCTCTGCGACTAGGGAGGGTCAGTGTCTCTTTACTCGTGATTGTTTCATTCCTTTTTCAGTAACACATCACAAGAATGAACACCGTAGTCGACATACCCAGAGTACTTATCTAAAATTTTCCGAGCAGGAGTGGGTGCCTCGTGCATTAAATAGATACATACGTTGCCGGGAAAGATACATCAACCCAGCGACTGAACATCTAGATTTTCATTTGAGAATTCCGATCCAACAGAACTCAGATTGATCTGCAGGCTGGCTAATATTAACGCTGCCGACCTTAAATGATACATGATTGTGATAATGCCGTTATGAAAACAATAGCTGTCTGCCATGTATTTTACTGACCTCAGTTACAACACACATGAACCCTGGAGATGGATATACCAATAATAACTCCATGCAAAATCAAAATATTAGAGAGGGAAAATATCAAATGTACCCCTGAAGTATTAAGCATACCCCTTCAATTTTGATAATTTCAGAAAGATCTCACATATCGTTTAAAGAAAATGTTACTTGCAGTCATTCACACATCATACTTGAACGGAAATCACTTACGATGATGTGCACCTGGTATTACAGACACCTCCGCTCAATGATCATGCTTACAGATACCACCTAAGCTTGAATTTATAATTGAACGTCATCTTCAGTGCCTCCTCAGTGCGGTGCCAGCTCCAAGTTGATGCTCTCCATAAATAGTGGATTTTGCATGTTTGCACTAAAGTCGGTATCAAATGAGCTTTTATCAAAACATGCCAAAACATTTTCAACATCTCTTATCTTCGTGAATCATATTTGCATAGCCATTCTTGATCCACAGTGGTAACAATAGATGGAATGTCATTCGTCTTTAGTGTAGTGTAAAATAGGTGCAAGCTAAGAGTTAGTTCGCTCACTTAACCCACTTGGATAGTTTTTTCATGCCAATTCAAAAAAGCTAGCTGAGTTGATGTCATTCATACTACTGTCATTGTGGCTGATAGCTTGACAATTTTTTGCAAGAATTTTAGGAACTTGATCTAGGTAATAAAAGTTAGAAAGAAGTAGGATGAGCTAAGGTTGGTGGATGATAAGGATGGATGATAGCATTGGCAACAAAGCATGACAATTGTTATTGTGACAATGACATGAAATCTAATTGCACAATTGGCCTTAAGAAAAGATTAGTTTGAATTCATGATCATTTCCATAAAGATGTTATTATCTTCACTATGATATCAAAAAAAATTTAGTTATGTACATGAGTCATTTCTATATTTAGAATGATTATAGTTCTTACTATGCATATTGTTTTCACAAATAGTAGCACATTGAAGGAAACCATTTGTTATAATATAATCAACAAACATTATGAAACATTGCTTATCAAGTCCAATTAAATAAGATATATTATGAATTATCTTACTAACACTAACAAATGGACATATCATTTGTCACAATCTCAATTAGTGGATACAATTAAATTTGTCATTTAGACCTTTATTGCTTAATATGCATACATTAGTGTTGAACATTTAAACAACCAATATGCTATTGATAGCTAGATAGTAGACAACATGAAAGAAAAGCCAAACAACACTTTATAATATAGAGCTATAGGTATTGAAATAGATATTCAATGTAATAAAGGCATTATAGCATGCTACTTGATACCATGGTGTAAAAGAAAAAAAAAATATTTTAGAGCTAATTTGCTCCTATAAAGATAGGTATATTAAATCGTATTGTCACCAAATTAAAAAGAAGAATTTTGGGAGCTTTGCAAAACTAGAAGTTGATCAATAATTTTTTTTTTTCAATTGTTTGTTAATTACAATATAAGCTTATATAGCTTATAAGAATGTTGACTAGTCATTGGCATAGAAGACATCTATTTGAAAGAAAAATATTTTGGAATATTTTTTTCTATTATAATTACTAATGTAAAGGGACAACTTTTTTTTGTTACATTTAATATTATAAATAGTAAAAATGACAATAATTGGCTATGATTCTTAGAACAACTAAAGACAATATTTCTTATATCTTGTCTACTAAATTACAAATTTTCAAAATCCACATTTTTTTTATAAACAAAAAAGACTCATTGATGTAATCAAATATGCATTTTTAATATGAAAACATACATTTTTTATGGGCCATTTAGCTGAAAACTTATAACCCTAATTCAAAAATACAATGCTTTTATAAAAGTTTTAGGCAGTAGTATAGAAGCCTATTGTTCCAAATTTTAATAGTGAATTCTTAAAAATCTAGGTTATATCAAAAGAAGCTGGATTAAATCATAGTATTAGATATTATCATATTTAGATAGAAATTGATTTAACTATATGACTTTGAATATTGTAAAATCTTTAAATTCTTAGATTTTAAAAATAAATGACATACCTTTATTTCTAATGTTAAAAACAATTCATTGGCAACTTATAATATAATACAAATGAATAATATACTATTATCAACACAAATACTAGACCACTATCAATAAATGCAAAGAAAAAGATCAAACATTTATAAATACTTGCATTTACCTTCCTCTATTATAATTAGAGGATTTAATTTTAAAAAAATATAGGATTTATGGTTGCAACTAAATATGGTCAAATAATATCTTTTATTCAAACAAACTCTACTATTTCATACTCTTGATAATATATGAGAGTTGTTATCTCTTCTTCACTCAATTAGGCATTATAGCTCCATACTTTATTAAATTTGAGCATATGATGATTCTTTAGAAAGTTACTCAATCCATATATATATATATATATATATATATATATATCAATTTTTATTTCTTAAAGTTTTGTATAATATATTTTATAAATAAACAAAGCTAATAATCATATTAACATGAGTCAATTGACTCATCATTTTTCAAAAACTCAATCCATCTACATACTAATTCTTCTTAGAGTGAATGAGAGCTTTTTGAAAAGTTAACAAAAAAAATAACTACTTCTCAAAATTTCCAAATAAAAT